ATTTAAATACCCTTCAATGCACTTATTGTCAAGCCTCACCCCAAATACTGTTGCCTTGATACCAAAACATCATTTTGAAGTGAAAGTGATTGATACTGCACACTGGAAATGGCTTTCTGAATGATATGGCTGGTTACGATACCATTCTGTGAACTTTACGAGCCATTAAAAATATATTTCAGGCCCCGATCAGGGTAAGGAGCTCCGGGCCAGACATGGGACCTTTTCAGGGTTGATCGACTAGTAAAGAGGTACTTTTTCACCAAATATCATCACCATACTAATACGATGTATTTTGCCAAACTCAATTTTTTACTAATTTTTAGTAGTTTTTCTTAACAATTTTTGGGTATTTTTCATGACTACCTGCCGGCAATTTTTTTCCTTTTTCTGTATCACTAGTCGACCACAAAAAACTTTACGGGGAGTGAATACGAGTAATGGTTCACTCTGGGGAAATTCTGCGACAAATTCAGAATTTAGCGGAAGACTAAAAACAAGAAATGTGATTAAAATTAGGCAAAATTTTTCCCAGTCAAATCCTTTTGCAGGGTGGGTCAGGGGAACACCCTTAATGAGTTTTTGAGGTTTCCAGGCCGATCTGAGACCCTCAAATTTGGGGCTTGTGGTGATCTGACAAAGAATGACCCTATAGAGTCATAATTATTTCACATATCACCAAGCTGCCTATACTGTGTAATTTTCCAAACAATTTCGTCTAGAAAAAAAAGATAGATTTTTGCTGTCCCTCACACACTGATGTTGATTTTTTTTTATTTTTACAGTTACTGGCCAACATAGTCAGAGCCGGAAATTGCCTGTCAGAGAACAGATTCGTGGAGAGAAAAAGGTGGCCATGCAGAATGATGGCAATACAGACCCACCAAGGTCAGAAAAAAGAACCTGCTTACAAAAAAATAAAAATAAGACGTGAAAGGCCTGCAGGACTTGGAAGCTGGAAATTTCAATAATGCCCCTTATGCCCCTACTCCAGAATGTCTCAAACAACTATCTTATGAGAGCCGCAAGAAGAAAATGCTGCATGATGACTTTTTCCCAGACTTAATTCTGAATGCTGATGTACTTGAAGATAATTTTGGTAAGGGGAGTGTGTTTTTGAGGTGTCATGAACCGTTCAAAATTTCATGGGCGACAGAAAATCAGATTCTCTACCGTCAAATCTCTACAGCATCATGATGAATATTTATTGACTTTTACTGGTTTTTTTCAGTTCAGGGAATGATAAAAGGACAATCACGCAATTAACGGGCAGACATTGTTATTTTCTCCACCCATGCGTTGATAAACACATCTATTGGTGTGACTGCACACATCTGAGTCACCTATTATCCTGAATGATGTGTGGATAGTCCCATCCAACTTTGGCGTTTCACACTGGGTTTTATTCCTTGTCTTACTAAAAAAAACCAACTATCTTCACTGGGAAAACACCTGCAGTAACATCTTATGTTATTGGTCAATTTTATATGTATATTTTGACAAAGAATTAAACCCTGAGAGTCAAACTGTTCTCTTTGAATGTTTCTGTTTCAGGATAATTTCGCTCGCGGGATTTTGAGAGAGAGAGAGAGAGAAATCACCGCGACGAAAATCATCGTCGCGAATCATCGTCGCTTTGTAAGTTTTATGGTTGGATGATGATGATGATGCTACTGAGCCTCGCTACGGTCGATTCGTAGCTGAGCGAGCACCCCCTCTCATCTCTTCCCTCCCTGCAGAAGAACCAGAAGAGGGTGAATTGCTGGAAGGAGGTGATGATGAAGGACCAGATCCGTGCGGCAGAGTACATAGCCGTGGAAGAGTGTGCGCAGGAAGCGTACACTGTGGCAAAAAGCTACGGAAAATCCTGTAAACAGCTTGTGGTAATTCTCCGTAGGCCCCTTATCAATATTCTCCGTAGGCTCTTACAGTATTTTCTGTAGAACCGCACAGTATTCTCCGTAGGACCGCACAGTGATCTCCGTAGGACTATACAGTCTTCGAGGTCCTACGGAGAAGACTGTGCGGATTTACAGAGAATACTGTGCGGCCCTACGGAGAATACTGTAAGAGCCTACGGAGAATATTGATAAGAGGGCTACGGAGAATCCTGGCAAAAAAATTAACAGGATTTTCCGTACCTTTTTGCCACAGTGTATCTCGTTACGAAGAAGGACGTCACGGACTTCATTGCCGAGGTCCGCGCTTTCAATTCACCTTGCGGCCCCATTTTCAGGGGGCAGGTGAATGTGCGCCAATGATTTGCCCACGCCACCGCAGGCAAACTCCTCCTGGCAAAACCAAACAATGGCTTTTGGGCAGAGCGGTGGCGGAATGCCCCGCAAAGTTTCTGATGCAGAGTACGTATTTTTTTAAAGACACAATTATTCATGGTTTGCTCCTATACAGTATTAGACTATGTTTGTTCCCCAGGGCGCACACGACCACTGCACCCCGACCAATACATCCGGATTCTTACCACATCGGCAGTGGTCGTCAACAATGTTTACGTGCATGATGCAACTTTAAGGTGCGTCCTTTGTGGACAAGATTTCAAGTCAGCCTCTGCACTGGAGGACCACCCACGATCCAAGGGTAGGCATTGGACCAGCCGTCGAAGCCTCGCGATGTGCGTCGCAGCCCTTGCTCTTTCAAGCCGTGGTTATGTAAGTATACATGATTACAAGTTGTTACGCATGTCTCCTCATGTCGGTATAAAACAACTAATTAGACTTATTTCAGCTTGTGGTTCCGAAGAACGCCTTGAGCCATGGGCTGGCTACGATTGAACACTTTCACAGGGACATGGCCCTTAGTTATCTAAGGGCAGTATATGCGAGGAGAGGTACTCACTGGACTGGGGTGGAGGTCCTTGATGGACAAGCAGCTGACTTCCCGAGAGTAACAAGCAGAAACCAAGAGGAATTAATTGATGAATATCGGGACGTAATACCGGCTGAGAGGCCAAACCAGCAGGTTTGCCTCTGCAAGTAAGTTAACACTCCTGTTTATCTTAGGAGGGTTTCGTCTTCATTGTGAAATACTAAAATATGGGTTTCTTTTTCAGCCGAGTCAATGCCTTCTCCGTCAGTTTCAACCCGTGCATTGCTGCCAAAAGACACTCAAAAACGGCAAGAAAAAATTACTGTTAGCTGACATACGCTGTAATGGTAAGTTTTACAGTAGTTCAGGTAATGTGGCTATAGATTAGTGCATGGCATGCTCCACCTGGGAGTGAACCACAAGCAAGCTTCACCCTGAAGAATGCTTGCAGGCATACTCCAGAATAGCGTGCTTGCGAAGCACTCTAAGCTAAAGCAGACTTCGTGGTTGACGTGAAGCCTTGTTGCTGGGACGCAGCACGCTTTACCCTTGAGAGTGCTTTCAAGCATGCTCCTCCGTGGAGAGTGCTCAACATGCATGCTCCATATGCTTGCAAGAACTCTCTTGGGTACAGCGTGCTTTACGGTAACGTAAATGCGGGTTATATGGACCACCAGTGGGTAACGTGGACCACACCTAAAATTCTCCTGAATGATCGGTTCGATCCAACTTGGGCCAGAAATTGAAGAATTTAATCTAACCGTCGATGGTGCAGTGGTGCCGGCCGGAGGTGACCATGGAAATGTCAACGGACGATGAGAAGCTGCCCCAAACACCAGCAGGACAGCATTTCATGTAAAAAGTGGTATAGAGAACTTGTCTGCGAGCTGATGGCCCACGACTCGTGCCACTGCTGTTCGTTTCA